GTTAGTGCTACAGGATGCAAATTTCTGTTTGAAAAAGTTAGCCTTTGCTTTCCTAACTGCTTGTGTATATTGGTTCCTAACTTCCCTGAAAAGTTGCATATCGCGGGGGCTATTTGATGCTAATGCAGTACGCCACAGGATGTTTTTGTGCTGGTCAAGGGCAGTCAAGTCTGAGGAGAACCAGGGGCTATATCTGTTCTTAGTTCTGTATTTTTTGAATGGGGCATGTCTATTTAGATTGAGAGGAAATTACTTTTAAAGAACAACCAGGCATCCTCTACTGACGGAATGAGATCTATATCCATCCAGGATACCTGGGCCAGGTCAATTAGGAAGGCCTGCTTGCTGAAGTGTTTTTGGGAGCGTTTGACAGTGATGAGGGGTGGTCGTTTGACCGCGGACCCGTTACGGACGCAGGCAATAAGGCAGTGATCGCTGAGATCCTGGTTGAAGACAGCGGAGGTGTATTTAGAGGGTAAGTTAGTCAGGATGATATCTATGAGGGTACCCATGTTTACGGATTTAGGGTTGTACCTGGTAGGTTCGTTGATAATTTGTGTGAGATTGAGGGCATCTAGTTTAGATTGTAGGATGGCCGGGGTGTTAAGCATATCCCAATTTAGGTCACCAAGCAGTACGAACTCTGAGGATAGATGGGGGGCAATCAATTCACATATGGTGTCCAGGGCACAGCTGGGGGCTGAGGGGGGTCTGTAGCAAGCGGCAACAGTGAGAGATTTATTTCTGGAAAGGTGGATTTTTAGAAGTAGAAGCTCAAACTGTTTGGGCACAGACCTGGATAGTATGATGGAGCTCTGCAGGCTATCTCTACAGTAGATTGCAACTCCACCCCCTTTGGCAGTTCTATCTAGACGGAAAATGTTATAGTTGGGGATGGACATTTCAGAATTTTTGGTGGCCTTCCTAAGCCAGGATTCAGACACTGCTAGAATATCAGGGTTGGCGGAGTGTGCTAACGCAGTGAATAACTCAAATTTAGGAAGGAGGCTTCTGATATTTATGTGCAGAAAACCAAGACTTTTACGGTTACAGAAGTCAACAAATGATAGCTCCTGGGGAGTAGGAGTGATACTGGGGGCTGCAGGGCCTGGGTTAGCCTCTACATCACCAGAGGAACAGAGGAGGACTAGAATAAGGATACGACTAAAGGCTTTAAGAACTGGTCTTCTAGTGCGTTGGGTACATAGAATAAAGGGGGCAGTTCTCCGGGCGTTGTAGAAAAGATTCAGGGCATTATGTACAGAAAAGGATATGGAAGGATATGAGTACAGTTCAGGTAACCCTAAGCGTTGGGTAACAATGAAAGAGATAGCGTCATTGGAGGCATCGATTGAGCCGGTCTCGGCGTGTATGGGGGGTGGAACAAAGGAACTATATGAGGCAGTTTGAGAGGGACTTGGGGTTCTACAGTGAAATTGTATAATAAGAACTAATCCAAACAGCAATAGGCAAGGCATAATTGACATGGGAGAGAGGCATAAAGCAGTCACAGGTGTTATTAGAGAGAGCTAAGACACAACTGGAAATAGCGATAACGTTTGGGCTAAGACTAAACAGAATAAACAGGACAGGGTACCGTGTAAAGGAACAGTCCAGCAGGCATCAGCTGTGCAGCTGAGTGATCATAAGGTCTAGTGAACAGCAATATGTGAGTCCGAGAGCAGTTCAAATTGGTGCTTCAGCACAGCTAGCAGGGAGCACAGTTGTAGTTTGCGTGTGCTAGCGGGCCGGGGCTGGCAGATGGATCTTCGTGGTCGTCGCAACGGGAAGCCTGTTGAAACCACATCAGACTATTTCGTCGGCAGACCAGTCGTGTTGGATCGGCGGGGCTCCGTGTCAACACTAGGTGGTCCCGTCCGGTTGACAGAGAGGTAGATAGCCGGGAGATGGGAGATGGGCCTAGCTCAGGATGATTAGCCAGACCTCAACGTCCATTTTGTAGCAGCTAGCTGGTAGCGATGAATCCGGAGTTAAAGGTCCAGTGATTCAGTGATTCCGGCAGAAAAACTGATATGTTCTGGGTCGATAACGCGCTGTGCAGACAGTGCAGACTGGCCGAATAATAGTCCAGACTAGAGCTGGCTGGTAGGTGGTGCAGGCCACGGACAATGGTGAAAAACCGCTAACGGTAGCTGATAGCAAGTAACTAGTTAGCTGGCTACTCCCGTCCGGTAGACCTAGAGGTAGATAGCTGGCTACTCCCGTCCGGTAGACCTAGAGGTAGATAGCCGGGATATGAGCCTGACTCTAGGCTAGCTCGAGGCTAACTGGTGCTTGCATCGGGGGCAGTGGTGATTAGCTAAACAGCAACATCCATTCGGTTGCGGCTAGCTAGTTGCGATCCGGTGATTAATGTCCAGTGATTAAATTATTCCGGCAGAAAATCCAATGTTCTGGGTGAAATAGCAACTGTGGCTAATAGCAAGTAGCTAGTTAGCTGGCTAGCTAGTTTCAACTGGAGATTCTAGATAAAAGGTAAGTCAATAATAGAATCCGTTCCACATTGAGTGAGGCGGGTTGCAGGAAAGTATATTTTGTAGAAGGATGAAAAGTCTGATAGGAAAATATGTACGAAAAATACAAAAAAAACAGGGTATTTACAGGCTATTTACAGACACACGACAAAAACAGGACTGCACTACTACGCCATCTTGGATTTTTTTTTACAAGCATACCCATAACATGATGCAGCCACCACTATGCTTGAAAATATGGAGAGTGGTACACAATAATGTGTTCTATAGGATTTGCACCAAACATAACACTTTGGATATTCTGTACAGGCTTCCTTTTCACTCTGTCAATTAGGTTAGTATTACAATGTTGTTGGTCAATCCTCAGTTTTCTCCAATCACAGCCATTAAACTAATTGTTTTAAAGTCACCATTGGCCTCATGGTGAAATCCCTGAGTGTTTTCCTTCCTCTCCGGCAACTGAGTTAGGAAGGACGCCTGTATCTTTGTAGTGACACACCATCCAAAGTGTGATTAATAGCTTCACCATGCTCAAAGGGATATTCAATGTCAGCTTTTTTTTTTTTACCCATCTACCAACAGGTGCACTTCTTTGCGAGGCATTGGAAACCATCCCTGGTCTTTGTGGTAGAATCTGTGTTTGAAATTCACTGCTCGACTGAGGGACCTTACAGATAATTGTATGTGTGGGGTACAGAGATGAGGTAGTCATTCAAAAATCATGTTAAACACTATTATTGCACACAGAGTAAGTCCATGCAACTTTTTATGTGACTTGTTAAGCACATTTTTATTCCTTAACTTATTTAGGCCATAACAAAAGGGTTGAATACTTTTTGACTCAACATTTCAGCTTTTCATTTTTTTCATTTGTAAAAAATTGTAAAAAACATAATTCCACTTTGACATTATGGGGTATTGTGTGTAGGCCAGTGACAAAAAAAATCTCAATTTCATCCATTTTAAATTCAGGCTGTAAGACGACAAAATGTGGAAAAAGTCAAGGGGTGTGAATACTTCCTGAAGGCACTCTAATGGCTGGAATTGAATGTAACAAACACATAGATACCGTGTGTTTGATACCATTCCATAAATTCTGTTCCAGCCATTATTATGAGCCCGTCCTCCCCAATTAAGACGCCACCAGCCGCCTGTGGTATGCAAGTATGGAACGTATGAATGCATACATAACACACCAGATAGAGTATTCCACATGGACATGCCCCAACAGTGAGTCATTCTCCACGGGTGTATACCAGTTAACAAGTTATTGTTATGTATACGTGTGTGTGTGTGTTTGCATTCGGAAAATAAATGGATAAAACCGGCAGGCACATCTCATAAAATGTATTAGACTGGGGAAACTCCCATCCCATCTTACAACAGATACTTGATCTAGTGTGAAAAATATGAATTACAGAAAAAAGGGACGTGAGGTTGACGTAAATGAAAACCAGATAAATAAAGCAATAGATGACGGCGCTGACAGCATCAGAGGTGTTAGTAGTGCTCAACGGAGGCCACACACCAAAGCGCAACACGTCATCTTGTTCATGTATTTCAGGGAGAAGCAGGGCCAGGGAGGTTTCCTGCATTTTTCTTCCAAACTCTATTTGGGCTGTTTGTTTTCCCACTGGCCCGTGCTCCACTTCCTGTTATGTTAATGAGTCCTGGGGACCTTATTCATCCGCTGACCTGGACTTGGTGGCAGCAGGCAGGCTCACTGGGCGAGGGCTCCCATTGTCGAAACGATACGCAACTGTCCTCCTTGGCTCTTTCCGCCTCTCTCTCCTTCCATCTTCACTCCTCCTCACCTCAGGTTCCCCTCCAGCCCCCACTCCTGTCATATCTTTTTGATTTGTTGACATGCCTGGTTTGTTTTTATGGATGACTGCCGCCCACTGCAAAGCCAATTTTCCCTTGGAGTTCTCTAAAAATGCATCCTGACTGCCTGGAATGAATGACTGATCTGACATGATTGGGTAGGTGAGAGGAATTAAATGGTAACGTTGCTTTCATCTAGCCACCTGTCAAACCCACTGATCCCTCTTGAAGGAAGGAGAGAAAGGTCTCCCTACACTTTCACATGGATCCCTCTACACTCACTCCTTTTCATGCCATCTCCCCCATTCCCAATAACCCTTCTATTTCCTCTCCCCTCCATTCCACCTCTCCCACCCTCTCCCCGTGCCCCTCCAATCCCTCCCTTTACCTCTCCAACTAATCTACCTATCCTTCTCCCCAGACCCCTCCCATCCCTACCTTTATCTCTCCAACTAATCTACCTATCCTTCTCCCCAGACCCCTCCCATCCCTACCTTTATCTCTCCAACTAATCTACCTATCCTTCTCCCCAGACCCCTCCCATCCCTACCTTTATCTCTCCAACTAATCTACCTATCCTTCTCCCCAGACCCCTCCCATCCCTACCTTTATCTCTCCAACTAATCTACCTATCCTTCTCCCCAGACCCCTCCCATCCCTACCTTTATCTCTCCAACTAATCTACCTATCCTTCTCCCCAGCCCCCTCCCTGCTCACTGCCTTGTCTAGTCCTTGTAGTACTCTCTTCTTGAGGAGGTCCAGCCTATCGCTGGCCAGCACCCCCCTCAGGGCGGAGAAGAAGACGCAGAAGTGAGCCGTGTTGTGGAGCATGAGCAGGTCTCCAGCCAGCAGCTCATTGGTCACCAGCAGGTGGTGTAGGCATGACCTCGTGGTCCCTGCAGCAGTAGCAGCCACACCCCTCCACTAGCGGACTGAAGTAATCTCTGTACCTGGAGAGCAGAGGGCAAGGGTCACAGACAGACAGACAGACAGACAGACAGACAGACAGACAGACAGACAGACAGACAGACAGACAGACAGACAGACAGACAGACAGACAGAGAGACAGACACACACACAAACATGTGCACACACACACACACACACACACACACACACACACACAGGAAACAGGCACACACACCATGTTCCTTTGAGTAGAGTGCAAGGGACAGAGGCACTTGTGTACAGTACATACACCAACTGACAGACACACTCATGGACACAAACCTCCCATCTTTCCAGTTGATCTCAAAAGGAGTCATCTTGGTTTGGTCTTCTTGGGGATTATCAGATCCAGTTTCTGGCTTGTCCTCATCTGACTCCACAACTGCCAAAATACGCACCAATCAAATCAAGCCCTTATGCCACACCAGCCATTAAACTACACCACTCTTATCTTTTCACTAAACCCACACATTCCAAAATCCACAGCAGTCAGATCATGCCCTAAAACCATACATCCTAAACCAATTATGGTCCATTGTGTTCTAATTTCACGCTCTTCTCCTTTCCGACAAAGGAATATCAGTATTTGCTGAATTACAGCCCCCGTCCACCAAAACCCACATAAACACCCTCACACACACACCCTCACACACACAAAAAAAAAAAGCCCAATCTAGACCCCTCTTCACTGAGTAATAATAGACCTCTCTCTAAACTTCCTTTTTTATCCAATATTTTAGAAAAAGTTGTTTTCAAGAAATTGGTGGATTATTTGAGTTTGAACAATTTATTTGAAAAATTCCAGTCGGGCTTCCGCTCACTTCACGGCACGGAAACTGCTTTATTGAAAGCAGTAATGACTTCTTCTGTTGGGTGCTGACGCCGGTGAATGCTCTACTCTAGTTCTATTGGACCTCAGTGCCACGTATGATACTATTGATCATAATATCCTTGTTGACCGACTGGAGAGGTGGGTGGAAATTTCAGGCATTGCCCTCGACTGTTTCAAGTCATATCTACTGTATGTGGCAGACATTTCTCAGTGAGCATGGGTGGTTCAGTATCGTCCGCAGCACCTATTCACTATAGTGTCCCTCAGGGAATTCTGTGCCCCATTCTTTTTTTGGGGGGGAGGCGGGAACAAACTCAATATACTTTAAAATGACTATAACCAAATCGAAACTTTGTAGAAATGATAATGGACCTACATTCAATTTGTTAAAGTAATTTTAGTAGCCGGCCACATAAGGGTTAGAAGTTAGCTATTTGGCTGGCAGTTGGCACTTATGGAACACACTGACCTGTTGGGGGTGCCTATGCACCTGTACCTGTGGCCTCTGGATCAGTGGTGATGTTGAAGGGGAAGGAGAGGGCACAGCCTCACTCTGTCACCTGGACGGGGAAGAAGCTCTCAAACAGGTCCACTTCCACCTCCACGCACGCCAGCACCTCGTCTGGCCGCCCCATGCCCTGCAGCAGCCTGACACACACATACAAACAGACAGACCAGGGTTTCTGTTAGTAAAATGTGCCACCGGACATTTGACCAGCAGCATTTTAATTTACCGGACATTTGAGACCCATATGAATTGGCTGAGGAACCTGATTAGGGCGTCCACCCACATTGCTCATGAAGACAGAAATCACATAAAATTATATTATGGAAATTCAAATTAACAGAACATGCAAGTTGAGGATGCAACGATGTGCGGTCCTTCTTACCGAATTCTGATGTACACTTTGAAGATGTTAGAACAACTCTCCACATTTACTTTTCCTCAGCCAACAAGACTAGTAACAAACAGCAACATCACTAGCCTATATCAATATACTATCCCCCATAGTAGAAAAGTTGACCTATTCTATTGGTCAGCTTGTCAAGAAATTAATAGCCTGTTCCAAACACTCTGGGATAGTTGTGGGACGATAGATCCCAAATCCAACCAGTAGGCCTCGGCTACATAAAAACCATTTTCTAAAGCAATGAGTCTGATGCAACAGATCAGAACAGTTAGCTTAAAATGTTGATAAACTATTATTTCTTCACATTATAAGCAATGCGCACAAGGCAGGAGGCTACGCACAAATGTTTGTTCCATAATGTAGTTAGGGGGGGGGAAACACCGTGGTCAAAAGGGCACCGCACATGCGAGTGGTTTCATGTGACAGAGATGAAAATATCCGTTAGAAATTTTGAAAGAGGGGAGATCTAATATGCAACTAGCATGGGTTGCCAATATGACTAGGATTGTGCCTTTGGCTACTGGACAATGAAAGAAAGTTGATATAAAATAGGCCTAATTGCCTCCACGGATATGGTCTTATTTTCAAAATACATACTGCCTCCAGCTCATTGCAAAGTGGTGTGTGACGCGCTGATGAAACCGGCCTTCCATTGCCTATGTTTGCTGTTTGAGGGGCTGTAGCAGCAGCTCTCGTGTTGTCTGACAGATTTTCTGCTCAAATGCTCTGTACCTGTATGCTGTACGCATGTGATAAATAAGATACCTAACGAATATAGTGTACACACGCGCCAATTTAATTCCACTAAATTATGCAAATTAACCTATAAACGGATAAGCATGACCAGTCAAATGTATTTCCATCACTGAATAGGCTAAAAAGCATTATTTCGCAATGGGAGTTTTTCTTCTTCTCCCAATTTTATTTATTGGCTTTTCTTTTTTTCTTTTTTTTCAGCCAAAAGCCGGCTATTACTGGCTAATGAAAAACCCTGCTACAGACAAACACATATACACAGACAGGTAGACAAACAGGCAGACAGACAGATATAAACGTATTACACTGTTGATCAATACACATTGATTGACTTATTAGGCAACATGCAGTCTTTTAGACAAACTGACAGACTCTTACCCATCTATCTTATCTATCAGTGTTTTTTTTTTTCTTTTTTTTTTTTTCTTTTTCTTTTTTTCGGGGGGATGGATCAGCTTAATATTGCAGATAGATTGTATCTTCTATCAATGTAATTGTCTGCATCACTTCCAATCCCCCATGTTTTTTTTATTTTTTATATATATATTCCCCTTTATTACTTTTCAACCCCACCATCCTTTCCCTACTTGGAGTAAATTAGTGAACAACAACGCCCAGGCCTCTACTTCCGGTCTATACTTACTATCTACACCTTATGGACAGAGTTAATTTTACAATAATTCTATATCTATATATATATATATATATATATATATATATATATATATATTTATTTTTTTTGCTCCTGAACTTCTTCTACTCTCAACCTCTCCGATCATTTTCATGATGTCCATCCGGTTTGCTTCTAAATGCCATATCTTTCTAACTGTGCTCTTTCCCAAAAGCTCCCAACATACAACCTATATACTTATTATGGACACAGTATGCTTACATTATTAGCTATCTTTGTTATTATTTGTTGTTATTTGTTATTAGTCCCATCCTTCAACTCTATTCAATACCTCCCATCTATCTCTTAACACCATCCATATAGGATTTCTATTTGCCATATATATTTCAACCATACTGTGATGTTTTACAAAAGTTCTGAACCTTTCTATTCTCATTGCTTCTACAGATTGTGAATTAAAAATAAACATTTTTGCTAAAAGTTTTATTATATTATTGATTGATTGACTATGACTTTTCAGATCACCCAGTAATGCTATCTGCAAGGTTAGTTCCAGGTAAATATTGCAATCCTTTAGCCATTCCTGGACCTGTGTCCAAAAACAAGCTACAAATGGACAGAACCAAAACAAATGATCTAATGATTCTATCTCTTCACAGCAAAATCTGCAGAGCTGGGAAGATTGTATCCCCCATATATATAACATTCTATTGGTAGCAAGAATTTTATATAATAATTTAAATTGAAAGATTCTAATTTTTGAATCCGGTGTCGTTTTGCGTGTCAGTTCATAAACACTATGCCATGGGATCGGTACGTCAAAGATCTCTTCCCAACTATTTTGCAATCTATATGGGACTGCTGTCAATCCTTTGGTCCTTAAGTGAAACTGATATACTTTTTTATTTATCACAGTTTTCCTTAACCAATTATGTTCTTTAATGCAAGGCCGACAGACAAGTTCCTTACTTTCTACCCCTTCAACTTTCCTCTTCCACTTTTGCGGTAAGGCTGCAATTATTTGGTTGTAATTTTGGGTAGAGCAGACATTTCCATATGTTTTTGTTAGCTGCATGTGCGACATAACTCCACCAGTCCTACCGATGATATCATTTACGAAGATTATACCTTTTTTAAACATTCTGTCAAAAAATAAAGGTTTTTTGTCAATTAGTATATTTGAATTTAACCACAATATTTGTTGCATTATTTGTTCTGTCGTTTCTGGAGGATTAAATTGAAATTGCAACCAACTTTCTATGGCTTGTTTTAGAAATAGTGACATTTGGGAGATTATTTCCTTTTCAAATAACTGAAAGTGAGAGGTTGTAATCTGAATAAAGGGAAAAAGGCCTTTCTTGAACAGTGGGTGAGACAATCTTACTAATTTGCTTGAGAACCAGTTCGGATTTAAGTATAACTTTTGGATGACTGAAGATTTTAGTGATAGGTCTAATGCTTTAATATTTAATAATTTCTGTCCTCCGAATTCATATTCATTATATAAATATGCTCTTTTAATTTTGTCTGGCTTGCCGTTCCAAATAAAATTGAATATTTTTTTCTCATATAATTTAAAAAACTGTTTGCTAGGCGTGGGCAAGACCATAAGCAAATAGGTAAACTGGGATAATACTAAAGAATTAATCAGGGTGATTTTCCCACAAATTTACAGGTATTTTCCTTTCCATGGTAGTAAGATCTTATCTATTTTTGCTAACTTTCTATTAAAATTTATTGAAGTGAGATCATTTATTTCCTTTGGGATATGTATTCCGAGTATATCCACATCACCATCAGACCATTTTATTGGTAAACTACATGGTAATGTAAAAATTGTATTTTTTAGTGATAGTGATCCAATACGTAATATAGTACATTTGTCATAATTTGGTTTTAATCCAGAGAGGTTAGAAAATGTATCTAGATCCTCTATGAGGCTGTGGAGGGATTCTAGTTGTGGATCTAAAAGAAAACATGAATCATCTGCGTACAATGACACCTTTGTTTTTAAGCCCTGTATTTCTAATCCTCTGATATTATTATTGGATCTGATTTTAATAGCTAACATCTCGATGGCCACAATAAATAGATATGCCGATAGTGGACAACCTTGTTTCACTCCTCTTGACAGTTTGAAACTTTCTGAGAAATAGCCATTATTTATCTATCAGTGTTATCCCTGAAGCACTACAGATGCAGCATCTCTCACTCTAACACGCACGAACGCACACACACACACGTGTAAACAACAAAATCAATACCAACATTGAACATCCACACACAGAACAGATGCATGTTCACACAGCAGACAAACAGATTGCATCCTCCATCATCCCCCATCCTCCTCCAAGCCACCTCATCCCACCCCACTCTCAAAATCACTCTTCATTTTCCCCGCTCTCTCGCTCTCCCTTTCAATCTCTCTCACCAAGGTTTCAGTTAACCGTCTCTCTCTGGCCCTCTGCCTTGAGGTTCCAGGGCCAAACCCAATTTACCATCCCATAATGAGTCCATGGTGCCCAATAGGAGGATGTGGATCTCCCAGTGCCACCACAACCCAGGGGCAGGCTGACCAAGCACAGACCCGATGGAGCCTCTTTTCATTAAGGAATCCCAGTATGGCTCCAAAAGGAGCGTCTGGGGGTCTCTGATATGGCCTACAGCACCACTCTCTCTCTCCACTGCCCCTTCGCCACCCCGTCGCCCCAAGTTGGCTCCCTTACCTCCAGGGCAAGGGGGAATAGGACAGAGGTCTCCCCAACGCTGGGGCACTGGGAAGCGGGCTGAGTTCAGTGGGGAGACTGGGAGCTCTGGGGGAAGTTTGATTCTACTCTCCGCCAGGCCAGTATTCCCAGTGCAGCTGGAAGAGGAGTGGGGTTGCCATGGCTCCCAGGAGGGAAGTCAGGGGTTGCCATGGTTTCCTGGGGATTCTGGAGTGAGCACAACAAGCGCAGAGGGAGGGAGGGAGGGGAGTCTGTCTCCCACAGAGTAAAATCACACTAGGGGGTCTTAGGGTTGAGTGTGTGTGGTGGGTTTAATAACTTATAATGGGAGTGGGGTTGAAGGTAGGACCTGTATGGGGGGGGGGGGGGGGGGGTCACACTGTGAAGGGTGTCCTACCAATTAGAGCCACTAATTGGCCATCCTATATCCTGGTCCCCATTCTAAATATGTCTGTGAGTGAGAGGTGAGGAGTGACACCTGCAGACACACAGACACACTGAAGCAGGGAATAAACAGAGAGAAGTAGAGAGAGAGAGAAGAGAGACAGACTGCAAAGAGGAGAGAAGAGAGAGAGGGGAGAGAGGGAAGGAGAGACAAAGAAAGAATTGGGTCTGTAAGGGAAGGAGTAAGAGGGGTGGAATGAAGGAGCACTCATATTAGATTTAGGGGAGTGTGGGTGCAGACAGGGAGAGTGTAAAAAGGGTTAAAGCTGGCAACTGGAACTGGTGTAGAGGGGCACTCAAACCTGACATTAGGCTAGACTCTGCTAGCTAGAGTCTATGCAGAGTTAATGGGCAGGGTAGTCAACTCAGCAGCATTGATCTTCAGATCCCTGGCAGCAACTTTTCTTCCCCTGAAAACGATTAGCAACATATTCAGATATTTTTAAGGCCGCCTCAGAGTTTTTCCTCTGAGAGTTTTTTGATCAATTTAGAGACTAACTTTAACTGCCGTGAAGCAGCTGGGATGAGAGTGGGAGAGAGAAGAGAGAGAGAGAGAAATAGAAAGCAGCTGCCTGATGAACAGAAAGCAGAGCTACAGCACACACACAATCACGATGCTGAGAAAGAGCACAGGGGAAGAACTACAAATGGGTGTTGTGATATGACGGTATAGTCGTAATAGACATAAGAGGTTATAATGTCATTTTTGACAATGCACCATACAGAGGGAACTGTTACATCACGCTTTATACATCCTTTATAAAAGGGGTTCTCAAAGTGGGGTCCACGGAAGTACTGTAGGGGTCCGTGGCCAGATCTCACAATATACACACTGAGCGTACAAAACAATAGGAAAATCTTCCTAATATTGAGTTGCACCCCATTTTGCCCTCAGAACAGCCTCAATTAGTCTGGGCATGGACTCATGCATGTGACAGACCAATAACTCATGAGGCTTCTTCTCTCTAAGCTGAAACCTTGAAACTGAGATATTTCGTTCTCAAAACAAGGGTCTGGGTGTACTGCCAAATTGCAGATACTGATACTTAGGATTTGTTCAATCAGTCACTTGCATGAACACAGAAATTGGTAATTAGAAAAGCACAAACACCTTCCTAATATTGAGTTGCACACCCTTTTGCCCCTCAGAACAGCCTCAATTAGTCGGGGCATGGACTCTACAAGGTGTCGAAAGCGTTCCACAGGGATGCTGGCCCATGTTGACTCCAATGCTTCCCACATTTGTGTCAAGTTGGCTTGATGTCCTTTGGGTGGTGGACCATTCTTGATACACAGGGGAAACTGTTGAGTGTGAAAAACCCAGCACCGTTGCAGTTCTTGACACACTCAAACCGGTGCGGCTGGCAACTACTACCATACCCCGTTCAAAGGCACTTCAATATTTTGTCTTACCCATTCACCCTCAGAATGGCACACATACATGATCCACGACTCAATTGTCTCAAGGCTTAAAAATATAATAATATTATTTAACCTGTCTCCTCCCCTTCATCTACACTGATTGAAGTGGATTTAACAAGTGACATCAATAAGGGATCATAGCTTTCACTTGGATTCACCTGGTCAGTATTCTCATGGAAAGAGGAGGTGTTCATAATATTTTATACATTCATTGTATATATTGCTCTTTATGAAATTTCTAAATTTCTTTTAATTTTTTGGATTATGTTACTGGTAGGTATTATTACTGCACTGATGGAGCTAGAAACACAAGCATTTCGCTGCACCTGCAAATCTGTGTACGCAACCAATAAACTTTTATTTGATTTAAATATTTATAATGGAAAGAAGTGGAGGGCGTTCAACCAACGTGAGTCGAGGTGCAATCCAAAAAATGTATAATCATTGAAAAGGCGCAATGCGCGCAAACCATGGTGAGCGAGCGTTGCACCTTTTCCATTTCAATAATTGATTACCAATTTATTTGTCTCTGCCTGCAAAATCTTCCCGCTCCTAAAAGGTAGGCTATATCATATACGCAAAACAAAGCTCAAGAGAAAGTGCGCTCTCATCATTCTTGCTGCTTCTGGTTCATTAGCCATACCTCTCCTAGTTGGGCGTGCGAGAGCAGATGTGTGTGTGGTCTCAATTAAATAGAGTAGGCTATGCGTTGTCAGAGAAGCGCGGGGCAGTTAGGGACAGATCTAAATTTATTGGGGGGGAGGGGATGGTCCAACTCAACGTGTCATTTAAAAAAATGCACCCTCCTCCCCAAAGTTTAAAATGTTTTCACATGACCCTCCCCTTGTACTGTAAAATAAATTGAACACCCTCCCTCCTCATATAATTAACTCAAAATAATGTTTAGGATAAACAAATAACAATGACTGGAGCAATCCTGTGTTTATAAACGTGGATATCGACTTTGCCACTTAAGCATGCTTTTGTGGTACAGTCGATGCCACGCAGGGCTACCGGCCAAAAGTTAAGGGTTCGCCGACCACTACAGACGAGCTCACTCTCCCTGCCTGTTTCATTACGCTATGATCAGAGCCAGCTGCAGAAATTATCAGCTAGGGGGAAATCAGATTTTCAACATTTTGATGCCATATTTATAATTATATCAAATATATGCAACACATTTTACACCAACAGGTTTCTGTGCCAATGCACCACACAACCAATAAACAAAGAATACCGTCTTCGGGCACAACAATATCATGGTTTGCGTTTTCAACACCACAATAAATAGACAAACAGAAAATACTTCCCTCCATAGCTTGTAAGCTAACCCAGAATCGAAGGCTTGGCTCGACAATCTCTGAATGTTATTAAACTTTTTGGTGTTTGGTAACAGATGTTTCTTTACATTCATCAATTGGCCGCTGCACAGTTTGGACTGATTGATTTTATTTGTCAGTTTAAAAAATACATATATACACATTTTTTTAAGTGGATTGCACAATAGTCAGGGACTTATTTCCATTGTAGTCCTTCTTTTTTACATAAATACATCTACAATTACATAGATACAGACACTTTACATAGATACAGACACATTACATAGATACAGACACATTACATAGATACAGACACTTTACATAGATACAGACACATTACATAGATACAGACACATTACATAGATACAAACACATTACATAGATACAGACACATTACATAGATACAGACACATTACATAGATACAAACACATTACAGGGATAGAGACGAGAAAATGCTAAGTTTAAGTACAATTCTTACAAGCATGTTTGACTGGTAGCTTATTCTTTAGATGTTTGGGGCTGCTGATGAACCATGATGTGCAGGGATAATCAAAGTGACACTGGACTAGCACACTTGCCAGAGTCTTAAGGGTGTCTATAGCTAGGTTTCCATCCAATTGGTGACAGATTTTCATTTGAATATTCTAAATATTCTAATAAAAACAATATGCCATTTCAGAGTTTACTTTAGGAAAATTTGGCGCCGTACAACATGACAGGGAAGATTTTAATTAACCAGAAATGTAATGGACATCAATATGCATTCAGATCCAACTTGGCGCAGCCAGCACCATCAATAATTGCTGCCTCTCTAACCTGGTGGTCCCTGCACGCACGACCCACGTGGAGTTCCAGGTCTCCGGCAGCCTCTGGAACTGCCGTTCTGCGGCCAACAAGGCAGAGTTAATCTCAGCCTATGCTACCCTCCAGTCCCTTGACTTCTTGGCGCTGACGGAAACATGGATTACCACAGAAAACACTGCTACTCCTACTGCTCTCTCCTCGTCTGACCATGTGTTCTCGCATACCCCGAGAGCATCTGGTCAGCGGGGCGGTGGCACAGGAATCCTCATCTCTCCCAAGTGGACATTCTCTCTTTCTCCCCTGACCCATCTGTCTATCTCCTCATTTGAATTCCATGCTGTCACAGTCACTAACCCATTCAAGCTTAACATCCTTATCATTTATCGCCCTCCAGGTTCCCTTGGAGAGTTCATCAATGAGCTTGACGCCTTGATAAGTTCCTTTCCTGAGGATGGCTCACCCCTCACAATTCTGGGTGACTTTAACCTCCCTACGTCTACCTTTGACTAATTTCTCTCTGCCTCCTTCTTTCCACTCCTCTCCTCTTTTGACCTCACCCTCTCACCGTCTCCCCCTACTCACAAGGCAGGCAATATGCTTGACCTCATCTTTACTAGATGCTGTTCTTCTACTAATCTCACTGCAACTCCCCTCCAAGTCTCCGACCACTACTTTGTATCCTTTTCTCTCTCGCTCTCCTCCAACACTGCTCACTCTGCCCCTACTCAGATGGTAATGCGCCGTCGCAACCTTCGCTCTCTCTCTCCCGCTACTCTCTCCGCTTTCATCCTATCATCTCTTCCCTCTGCTCAATCCTTCTCGCTCCAATCTCCTGATTCTGCCTCCTCAACCCTCCTCTCCTCCCTTTCTGCATCCTTTGACTCTCTATGTCCCCTATCCTCCCGGCCGGCTCGGTCCTCCCCTCCTGCTCCGGGGCTTGACGACTCATTGCGAGCTCACAGAACAGGGCTCCGGGCAGCCGAGCGGAAATGGAGGAAAACTAGACTCCCTGCGGACCTGGCATCTTTTCACTCCCTCCTCTCTACATTTTCTTCATCTGTTTCTGCTGCTAAAGCCACTTTCTACCACTCTATATTCCAAGCATCTACCTCTAACCCTAAGAAGCTCTATCCCACCTTCTCCTCCCTGCTGAATCCTCCTCCCCCTCTCCCCCTCCTCCCTCTCTGTGGATGACTTCGTCAACCATTTTGAAAAGAAGGTTGACGACATCCGATCCTCGTTTGTTAAGTCAAATGACACTGCTGGTCCTGCTCACACTGCCCTACCCTATGCTTTGACTTCTTTCTCCCCTCTCTCTCCAGATGAAATCTTGCGACTTGTGACGGCCGGCCGCCCAACAACCTGCCCGCTTGACCCTATCCCCTCCTCTCTTCTACAGACCATCTCCGGTGACCTTCTCCCTTACCTCACCTCGCTCATCAACTCATCCTTGACCGCTGGCTATGTCCCTTCCGTCTTCAAGAGAGCGAGAGTTGCACCCCTTCTCAAAAAACCAACACTCGATCCCTCTGATGTCAACAACTACAGACCAGTATCCCTTCTTTCTTTTCTCTCCAAAACTCTTGAACGTGCCGTCTTTAGCCAACTCTCTTGCTATCTCTCTCAGAATTACCTTCTTGATCCAAACCAGTCAGGTTTCAAGACTGGTCATTCAACTGAGACTGCTTTTCTCTGTGTCACGGAGGCTCTCCGCACTGCTAAAGCTAACTCTCTCTCCTCTGCTCTTGTCCTTCTAGACCTGT